CGTCTTTATTTAATGAATAATCCACTTCATTGTACATGTGATTTATTTTATTTAAAATATGGAGATATTTATCGTCTTTTATCAAATAATAAAAATGAAATTGATAATGAACAATATGCTAATATTGATATATATCTTAATCGTTGGGTATCAAAACTTGAACTTCGTCGACATTTAGAAAAAGCACATGAACGTGGTGATTTTTATCGTTTTCCAATTGAACTATCATCATTTGCTCGATGTGCGACACCAAAAAAATGGCATAAATATGAAATAAATAATATAACAGGAATATATAAACAATGTCGACATCGATGGTTAGCTATTGAACATGACTGTCAAAATTATTGTCAAGTACAAAATCATAAGGAAATATCGTTAACAACCATTCGTTCGATTTCATCCAGATTTATTCATTGTGATTATTCATCTTATTCGATCATTAATTTTTCTTTATTGTTAATTTGGTTTTTCTATCACCGGTGATAGTTTTTGTGCTTTAATAAATAATATGTTACAGTTTAGATAGAGTGTCGTTCAATTATCGAATATTTGCTAAAAAAAAGATCTTTTTTTTAGAATTTTGTATTGAATTCGATATGATGTCATTTATTGAACTAAGAGTAGAAAGTAATTGAAGGTTTATCAATTCTATCGAACGGTGGTGAATATCGTTAAAAATTAGTTCCGTTCTTAGGAACTGTATAATAGTTCTTTTGACAGGAACTGAACTATCCTACCCCTAGTCAGTGGTCATCTATCTTGTGTTTTGGTATTAATATAATGAAAAATGCTTCAAAATGATCATTACGAAGTGTGTGTGTGTGTGTGTGTGTGAGTATGAGTATCTGTGAGGATGGGCGTATGCGGGTGTAGGTTTGTATCCCTGATCTGCACCCACCCACACCCACACCCACACCCACGCCCAAAGAAATACATCTATACTGTAGTACGACAAAAAAAAGGCATGACGAGAATAAATCTGATATATATTTATTGATTAATCCATATAAATTATTTTTATTTAATCATATGAAAACTGTGTAATATAAATTAATAAACATATATGTGAAGTTATTTTAGTTGATGTTTGTATATAAAATAATGTTTATTTTTTTTATCTCATATTCATATGGATTGACATGTGATAATGTAGGTAAATAAAACGAACAAACAACGAATATATATATACATGTACATGTACATTAACATCAATAGACAGTCTTATTTGTATTAACAGAATAAGAAAAAGTAATCGATAACAATCGTTTAAATAGATGTGAGTATCTTCGAGTATAAATAGATGAAGCGTAGAAATATTTCATTTGAAAACTTTTCAAATATATTATTAAAACAATTTTTATCTTTAGAAAACAACTTTTTTTAAATTTTTTAATAAATTAATATGATTTATTCTATTTAGATAATTATCGAAATTCTTTAAAATAAAAACATCAATTATTATTGAATTAGAATCAAAAAAATTGCAATTAAACAAAAAACTATTTCAAAGAATACAGGTAAAATATTTTACTTCTTAAATAAGGTTTGTTTTTCTAATTTAAAGTATTTAAAAATTAATTTTTTAATTCTAAAATCAGGCGTGACTGTATCTATCTCAATGAATAAAATATGTAAATAAACATATTAAATATACATTTAATAGGATAAAGAGTTGATTTATTTTTATCCCAATTAAGGTCACATTGTCCTTTAGTTTTTTCACTAGATTTTTTATTTGGTTTATTCAAAAACTGTTAACATTTTATGAATTCATTTTGATGTTATCATCAAATAAAAAGTATTCTTAAATTTCAAATATAAATTAATTAATAAACAAAGAATTTTTATCGAATTTTACGTAAGATTCTATTTCAGTTTATCAAAGTATAAAATTATTTTCGTTTGTATTTATTAATTTGCATTATAATATTTTATCATATAAAGCATACTTTTAATTATTTATTATTAAGATTAATAGTATATTAATCGTTTCACGTTCAGATTTTCTTTTCGAAAAATCAAACTTTGTAAAAATCATATTTGCATACAATACTTTTTTCTTTCTTAGAAAAAAAAAGTTGATCTTTGTAGAATAGTTTTTCTGTATAGATAAAATTTCTATGAATAAAAATGTCAAATAAATAAGAGTAAACGTTTTCTAAGTGCAAAAAATATCGTATTGACGTTTTATTTTCGATAGATATATGCGAACGCATTCATGCATATCAAAAAGACAAACAGTTAGGATAAAAGAATTTTCAAAAATCAAATCTAATTACATATATATCATTGTTATATCTTGAGTAAATATTTTTAATAAAAATGATTGCTTCTGTTTTATTTAAATATTATCAACATAATTAAGTAATTTTTTTAGTTTGTATGACAAATATTAATCAAACGTTAGAAATATGGAAAACAGTAGACTCGACGACGTAAATGACTCATTTTCTTTTTTT